CTTATTACAAAATACTGAAACAGATTAATTAAAATTATAAATGGAGAAACACCAAACATTTTTATTAATGATATGATTAGGGAAGTAGGAACAATACTGCTCTATATTACTGTGAAAACGTATATAAGGAATAGTAGACCATAAGATACATCATGTAAATGAAAAAACAGTCACAGCTTGGACGACGAAATTAAATTAAATTACACCCCCACTATATACACCCACAATAAAATCTCAAAAAACGGAAGGAAAATTCTTATTTAAGCAAAAAGACTATAGAAAATAACGTCAAAAGAAGTCCTCCAACACCTTGGTTGTGGGTGAGATAGGTCCTAGGATAAACAATTGGATAAGCCTAAGATGGAATGTTGGTTAACGCGGTCAGAAAAGATCAAAACATTAACTAACAACAAATATATAGGTGAACAAGCAGTTACCCGATTAATGCATTACATAAAGCAGCGAGCATTACATAAAAGTTGAAATGTTGAATGAAGGAATGAAGTTGCTGAGCACAGCATACAAAATTGTCCAACAATTTATGAAAGATTAACACCATACACTTAAAAAATGGTTGGCGAATAACAGTGGCAGATTGGATATTTGTTTAACGACGGATTCTCAAAAAAAAAAACAAATGAATACAATACCGACACACACCATGTGTTCATAGATTTTAAAAATGCTTACGATAATATAAATCGATAATTTCTTAAATTTCGCAATAAAAACCCTACGAACAATAGTGCGCAAAACAAGAAGAGACAGGGTGAGAAATACAAACGTTAGAGAGCAGTGCAAAATTCAAGATATTGTAAGATGGGGAAGGCAGCGTGAGAGGATGTGGTACAATCATGTAAGACGATTGGATGAGAATAGACTCCCGAAAATTGTCCTAGAAAACAACATGCCCGGTTCAAGACCTCCCAGAAGATCACCTAAAAGATGGAGGGATAGTTGGCAATGTACCTCCCAGGAAATTAACCAGAGGCATCTTCAGAATTAAACAGATCGAAAGATCTCCAAGAAGTAGAAGAAGAAGAAGATAATTTCTAGTCCAAACGATTACAGAATTTAAAATACTGTATTGTGTTTAAATAAAACGAGTGGTTCTAATTTATTTAAGATATCATAAACTCACTTCTAATAACAGTGCTCCAATATTTCTAGAAGTATCTGGAGTAGTCCACCTTTATTCTCGCTTGTATGAACGCCTCGCTTTGTACCTCGACCGTACATCTCAAACATTCTGATGTACGTGTCATCACTTTGAGAGATGCAACCGTTATATGGGATACGTCGAAATAAGCTTTTTCGTTACAATACTTACACAACTAACCGAAAACAATAGATGTGAAAAAGGGACTACGATAGGGAGATATCTTATTATGCATACGATTCATTATCATACTTAAGAAAATAATAAGAGACTCGACAGTAAAGACTTGAGGAACGATAATCAATGGAGTTGTGCAAATACTAGCCTTACAGATGATGAAGACATAATTACAAGATCGAGAAGAAAAATTATAGAGGCACTGAAGCAGGTAGAATGAGCTGCCCCAAGCAGTGACTTTAAAAAAAATCAAATTAAAAAATACATTAATGTCAGTAAAATTGCTTGTAATGAGCAACTGCAAAAAGAAGAATACAACATTGAAAGTGTAAAAAACTCTACATATTCAGGATCTTTAATTATGTCAGATCACAATGTTGGTTAGGAAGTCAGGAGGCGATTATTCATCGCTAGTAAAATTTACCATAGGTTAATTAAACAACTAAGATCAGGCAACACCACAAGAAACACGAAATGCCAAACATACATTAGTAAGACATTAGTAAGAATAAATAAATATACCTACGCAAATGTTTTGAATTCTGTAGACTTTTTTTATTTGTTTTTTTTTATAACCTGTTCTTCTTTTATAGATTTCCCTTTTTTAAATTCCTTGATCAATGTTATCTTCCTTGATTTATATTGGTTCTTCGAGATTATCTTTTAATATTGCATTCTTCATGGTTGCATTTTACGAGCGATTTTCCCATATGTTTGTGGCCTGGTGTTTTTGCTCCTTTTAGAGAAGGGTATTATTTTGCTTGCCTGCCAATTATTTTATTATTATTTTACTAAATAAGAGAGTTAATGGCTTAGATGACTCGAGGCGACTAAAGCGGAGTAATTCATTCGCTTGTTGTCCGTTCGAAAAGCCTTTCTATTCTTTAATTTTCCGGTTTTGGTTTTTACTTATTCTTTTTTTTTCAATCTTGACTCTTCGTTCATTTTACATTCAACAATATTCAGCAAAAACATATTGGCAATTATTGATCAAAAATTAATGGCAGTCTTTTATGCACAAATCTTAAAACTGAGTACTGGCTGCAAGTATATTTATCACCTAAATAGGTGTTAGGCAGATGCAGCATTTATTACAATTGCTTCTTTAAAACTACTCTATGGTATGAACGATACCAAAGAAAATTAAGTATTCCAAAAGGAAAAGAGCTAGTCCATTAAAAACAATGGATTCAGTTCGATATGTTACGTTGGCCTTGATATGCAGTCACAAATTCATCTTCAGTTTAAAATCGTAAATGATTATTAAGTGAAACAAATTGAAAAAAAAAAAGATAAATATAACTTTGTTACGAGAATTAAAACGATAGCGAAAGAAATCGTCGAAAATAACAATAAAGAGCTGATAGACAAAGAAAATGAAAATAAGAACATAATTCTAGATAGAATCAATTAGGATTCAATTCTTGGTAGAAAAGAAAGCGAAAGGAAAAAACTTCGACTTTAGAAAATTAAGGAGAAAAGATCAGTAAAGAATCTTAGTAAACCTAGCATAGTCAAATTTGTAAAAAATATTTTTTTTTACTGAAAAAAATACTGAAGATAATTCAGTCGATGTCGAAAAGGAAGAAACTGTTTCAAAATCTAAAATTATTGTGACCGACGATGTTTTTTGGTTTGGTTTTTTGTTAGTGCTATGGTTGCAAGTGGATTGAATTATTTGAAGTTGCGATCAAAGCCAGACGAAATAACATACTGGAAATCAGAAAATATTGTAGCTCCGTGACATAAAAAGGTCGCTTTTCTCTACTTAGGTACGTAGTTTCCTAAATATGTAGGTATCTTTTGTTACGTGTATGGTATTGAAAATAAAAATTTTATTTTGGTTTATTTACTCATCACCTGACTCAATTATTATTATCAATTTACTCAATCTGGTTGCAAAAGCTCGGAAACAGCTATAAAGTTAAAACAGTTATAACAGCTATAACAGTTATAGTGCGAGTTATAGTACAATGACTGCTAGAATCCAGTATATTCGACCATGCGAATTCAATAAGCAGTTACCGCCTATCAGCACCGAATATTCCAGAGCCTTGCAACATCAATTGCGACTTACTAAAACAGCAAATTCAGCAAGGGTAATGATTATACATAAAGCATTGTAAAACCACATTTTTTCAGTCTGACAGTATAATTGTATTTGAAGTCTGAATAATATATTTTGAATTGAAAAAATGTTTCTTAATTTTCTAATTGGTTTGTGAAAAGGTCTTAACCGTAACGCTTCCATTGTCGATATTTCTTCAAAATGTTTCTGACGATTTCGTTAGTGCTATTAAATGTACAAACGATATTATCTCTTATCTAGAAGATTTAATAAACAATTCCGAAATTGAATTTGAAAAACCATTTATTTCTGCTTCTAAAATATCTAAAGATATTTTTAGTATTGGGCGTTAAATTCCAAAGAATATTAAGATACAGATTTGTAGGGATAATCATCCAAAAACTTCAGTTGAAAAATATTAAAGAGTATCAACATTCAATCCATGTTTAGACAATCATATTTATTATTAATGAAAATAATGAGTATACAGAAGAAATAAAAATGAGAATTGGACAAGCTAGAGCAACATTTAATAAGATGAGAAAAGTATTATGCAATAGAGACCTTAGTTTGCAACTAAAAATAAGAATATTACGTTCATACGTGTTTTCGGTACTGCTGTATGGGGTGGAGGCCTGGACCTTAAAGAAAGAGCTGAGCGATCGACTTGAAGCATTCGAGACCTACCGAAGAATATTAAAAATAAGTAGGGTAGACCGAATAACAAATGTTGAGGTCCTCAGAAAGATGACAAAGGAAATGGAAATCGTGAATACGATTAAGATAAGAAATTTACAATATCTTGGTCACGTTATGAGAGGGGATAAATATGTGTTGTTACAAACCATAATGCAGGGAAAAATCATTAAAAAAAATTTTTTTTATTGGGTTAATAAAAAAAATTGAATTATTTGAAGAATAGACCACTGAATTGAAATCTCATTTACTGAGTATTAAAGTATTTACTTGGTAATTGCGTAATTTTACGCCCTTGTCATAAAAATAATGGAAATTTTTTTTATTAGCTTTAATAGCTTTAATCATCTAGAAACTATTTTATTAATTATGATAAACTTTATTAATAAGTATATTCCAAACTTTATTAATATTATTCTTTCCACATTTCCTGAACAATTTTTTCAGTGCCTATGTGACGTATAAAAATTTAATTTGTTCCGTATTAAAATAAATAATAAAATTTATAAAAAGTTCCTTCATTTTTGATTTAAGTAATGTTTCATAAATTAATCAAATATTAATAGTAGTTTAATTGTTAATTTTTCACTCTTCATCAGAGCTCTTTTCACTAATTTCTCCTTTTTTATTAATTGGAGAGCTATTTTGATACTCTTCGACACCCGCGAGAAGCGCCGCAACAATTCTTCTGGAGCAGGTGGACTGAGATTTTTAGTTGGAAACAAAGACTCTTCAATTTTGCACCATCCCCAGTTAACTGGACGAATGTCTTTGTTTCCAAGCCATATCTGGATTTGTAAATAAATTCTTTTGATGTGTACATCCAATGCAGCAACCGTTGGAACCAGAGATGAAAACTTTACTGCACTATTTTTAGTGGTAGTCTTAATAAAGGACTTGTTACGCATATGTTCCAGATAAGCTGATAGGTCTTTGATGCGTTGTAGTTTTCTCATATTTACATCTTTTGCACTTTCGTACAATAATATTGTGCAGTACCTGCCAGCTTCTAAAATGGCATCCGATATCAGCGGCTTTATTATAAAATATATCGACCTTCTCTCTTAAATCAGGTCTTTTGGCTAGAAGATCGATAATTTTTTTCTTCCCTTTATTACAAAAAGCAGAAGTCGAGTCACATCCAGAGAAACAATGAGAGAATAGAATATATACTCCTGTACATGGATAATTTAGTTCTACGCTTTTTGAAGAATGTATCACGGAGTTAACATTTTGTTTTCCAAGTTTCAAAAAATAAATCTCTTCATCAGCTTTAGCTCTGGCAGTTAAAATAACTAAAACATCAATGTCTTCTGCTACTATAACTTTTGGCAAACTTGAGCCCTTATCCTTAATTGTTGTCTCTACTATTAATTCGTCAGCTTCTCCTTTTCCTTGCTTGCATTTATTGGATTTTTTTTCTAGTTCCTTCATAAGATATGATATGAAAAGCCTTTTATTTTTATAATTACTCAAAAAATTGTCTTGACTAACAGCTACTGGCTTATCTTTTGTAAACTTAAATTCTTTACAAGTAACCTATTGTGACCACGATTCCTTTCTGCAGCCTTATTACTATCTTCATTGTAAGAATCAAAAATAACAGTTACATTACTACCGATTTCTTTTCAAATAGGAAATAGATTTCTCAAAGATCTCAAATTTTTCTAAAAAATGTTATTGATTTTTTTACAATAACTCCGTTATAATTTTTATATCAGGTTCTGTCAGAAACCATTTAAAAGGTAATTTCAAGCGCTATAAAGTCGTATTAAATTTAATCTTTTAAATCCTTTATTTTTAAAAAGATAAAAGGTTAAAGGGCCCCGATTACTTGGTTCTCGCAGTAAAATTTAGGTTTTAAACATTTTTATCTGTTATTTTTTATCCTAAAATATATATATATATATATATATATATATATATATATATATATATATATATATATATATTATTGTGATATTTAAAGTCTTAGTGTGCCAAGCAATTAATTAGCTTATTAATTAATTAATTAATTAAAATTATTTTAATGATATGACTATGATTCTATCACACCTTTTAATTCTCTTATCTCAGGGTTATATTCGTGCTTCAATATCTATGCTATTACATGTGAAAGGTAAGGTCCAAAGAATACTGGAATAATAAAAAACATATAGGATCTAACGTTATATATTGAAATAAAAATAATGAAATAAAATTCACACTCAAATGTTTTCAATAAACAAAATCTCATATAATGATTCTCAAAATTTTGTTCTACGTACGAGAACCTTCAGAATTAATGGTACAAACAATATTAGTTGAAATCTCAAAATCCAAATATTATTCTAAATCTCCTAATCAAAATATTTATATCCTTTCTAAATTAAGTGTAAAAAATTGTGTTATCAATAAAAGAAAAACTACAGAAAACAAAACTATCTCTCTCTGATGATGAGTGGTCCAAATCCTTGTTCCTTGTAGACTATACTATTTACTCGTAGCCGCTCCCTAGGTAATCAGCAATCTTACAACAAATTATTGCAAGTTTATCGTCCTTAATGACCTCCTTCAAATGCACGAATCATTCAAATTATGCTAGCTTCTTCTTTTTTTTTAAATAGTTTGATGGCCTTGGCCGAGCCAATTAGCTAGCAAATAGCTTCTTCTTCTCTCAATAAACTGAATCTCTCGTTGGCCTGAGTGAAAAATGACTCTTGGAATATCTTTTCTTTACGATAAACTGAATCTCTCGTTGGCCTGAACAGTGACTCTCGGAATATAAGTAGAAAATATAACTTACAATCTTTTACTGGATCAGCTTCTGTCAGATACACTAACTACACGAAGACTCACAAACTTTCACTGCTACTGCTTCCTACCTCTGGGACACTACCCGAGAACAACGGCTACTAATGTATTTGGAAAACCCGGTTCAATTGTCTTAAGTTCGCTCACATCGCTTAGATATATTTTAACAAAGAAAATAATTTATGCATAGCTTACGTTTTGTTCAATATAGGTAATCCAAAGATAAAAGGACTTTCGTTCTTCGAAATGTTTGTCGTTTATTAATTCGACTTATCTGAATTATTTTAATTATTTGAACTTTGAAATATTTTTAAACAATCCGATATCTTCTAAAATATTTGTTAAAAAAATCTCAAAATGGCTTAAATATTACAAAAATAAACTGGAATCTATTTTCTATAAAGAAACACTGCAAGATTTTCCATTTAACGAGATAAACATTGCAAAAAAGTCCGGAAAAGGAAGATCACCTAAGTTCTTTAATATTGTTCAGGAGCAACTCTACCCAAATCGCAGACCTGTCAAAGACTTAAAAAACACATGTTTAATTTGCTTTCTTACATTCCATCGCACTACCACGAATTTTATAAAAATTTGCCAGTAACACAAAAGGCTAATCCTCGACCTTCAACTTCAATGATCGGCCAACTTGAGTCTAATAACGACAGTGAAGATTCGGATAATTACATAGACTCAGAAGTCAATTATTTTTCTTAAAAATACTGTTTTTCAAATACTGTTTCTGACATATATCTACATAATATTCTTTAATAATACTTACAATAATACTATATCAGGACCATTATATTAATATCATTTTTCTGTGCAAGTTTTTTCGTTAATGACAAACTACTTCTTACTCAAAAAACATATTAAAAATAGTAAGTATTCTTGTTATAAAAAAAATTATAAAAATAATTATTAAAAAAAACTGAAATAATTCATTGGTGAATTGAATTTCTAAACATTTTGTTAAAAAGGGGCGAACTTAAACGAGTGGACACCCCCTTAAATTAAATCCCGGCTACGGCACTTCACTAAACCCCTGCAAGTATTAAACCGCGCCACAGTAGTATTAGATTCAAATTGATTTTAAAATTTAAATATTATAAAATAATAGACATATATTACGAATAAACATAAATTCTAACAATATTAATAACAAATTTAAATAAACATAAATAAAAATAAACATTTTTTCATTAAAAAAAAAAACAAAAATTTAGGTCCCACCGAGATTCGAACTCGGATCGCTGGATTCAAAGTCCAGAGTGCTAACCATTACACCATGGAACCTTGAAAATAAAATTTAAAATGGAAGCTGTTATATAAGCTTACTAATAAAAATAACAGTATTTATAGTAAATTAGTTAATTTTAGATTTCGATCTTCTGTCAAATATATTCTCATTCATATGTAAAATATTTCTAACTGAATTAGTAAGTTCAAAAAAGCAATCTAAAACCAGAATGTGTATAAGAAGTTGCCTACTTTAAGGAAATCATCGGCCACAAATCAACCCCGCTTATTTATTATTGTGTATTCAGTGTTTAGCGTTAATAAAAAAAGCATTAAATTAAATAAACATGTTGTCCTTTACTATTAGACCTATATCCTAGTTAGTTTATTATTCGGATCATGCGTTTCTGCGACATCGATTGCAAGCTGCCTCTCCGTTTTTAGATCGTTCTCCCTCATTTTCGACACAAATGTCTGCCTTTAATAATTGTTACTGGTACCAATCTATTCCTGCTTATTCTTTTTACATGGTTAAACCTAGTAAATATTTGCCTAGCTACATATGCTATTTGCTTGGTTAATTTCCTTGTCTTTTTATTTCTTACCTTTTTTTCTGCAAAGGCAATATCGATGACAATGGCATCTATAGCAAAACCTGTTTAATATTTTTATTTATTCAATGATATGAATATCATTGTTTTAAAAAGTTTTAAAAGTACTTTGTGGTCTTGTGCTTCTTGATTGCAGCCAGAATTTGTGTATCTACTTTCTTTTGATAAGCTTTCTTATCTTCGCTTACTTTGTAACCTTCTTTTTTGGATTGGAAAATATTACCTTCTTCTCCCTTGGACCTCTTCTGCCTTTTTCTTTCAAAATATTTATCATTAAGGTTTTATGGCAGCTGTAATTATTTATTACGTACCCACACAAATTGAAGTTTTAGATAAGGGATACCATAAATTATTTGTCTTGACTTTGTATAGAGAGAAAAGTGATAAATAAATTATGTGTATTCTTCAGTATCTTGGGTTGATTTCCATATGTAAAGCTTTCCAGGTGTTAGTAATCATAAATTTTTTTCTTGGCAGAACTGAATAAGATGAGATCCACATATTCATACGGATTTGCCTTATTCTTCACGTGATTCTTTTTGCCTTTTAGCATCGGATTGTTTATTGTATTGTTCGTTACGTATCCATTTTTTTCCAATTTTTTTATGTCTACACTAATTACTCACATTACTTCAAATCGTATTTTCCCTTATTTATTCAATTTCGTTTATTCTATCTATCCATTTATCATTGGTCTGTTTTTTTGGTTCTTTTTGCTTCTATTATCCTCAGTTAAATTGTTTTGGTGTTTTCTAATGAAATATTCATACCAGCCCAACTGTTCTCTTAATTTTGTTCGGCATAAATTCTTGATTTATATGTTATTTAATTTATCTATTGTTTGTTCTATATCTATGCTTCACTCGTAAATGTAGTAGATGGGACAACTATTTCTTTCGTTTAAAATATTATCTTCCTTTGTTTTTCAGCTATATCCTAGTCTATTTTTCTATAATCAGAGATTATGGACCCTAGGTAAACATATGTTTCTAATACACACATAAAAAATGTCCAAGGAACACCACTTTTTTCAATAAAAACTTTTTTGGTAACGCTGTTTTTTGTTAAACACGCTTTTGTTTAATTTGAAAACTTGTTATTCAATTAATTGCATCAAATTCTAAAGAAAAAGTTCTTTAAATTTGATGGTGTGTATTTACTTTAAATTTTTACTAAAACAAGATTATTAAACGTAACCATAGTCTCGGAGCGTCGGCATTTAACACATATTCAAATGGTAAATGCTGTGAATATGATTGTGACTGTGACTGGTCTTTCACAAGCTGATGTTGCATGTCATTTTGACTTAACCATGGACATATAAAGGGTAACACTTTTGGTACCGTTGCTAAAAGACATGAAGGTCGTCAACGTGCAACTACTCCTCTACAGGATCGGTCTTGGAAATATTAGATGCATATAACTGCACTTGAACTCTGTGGGGCCTTCGAAAATACCCACAACATTACTGTATGTAACCAAACTTTAAGGAATAGATTAAATGATGCTAGTCTGCACGCCAGACGTCCATTGAGGGTTCTCACGTTACGTCACGGAAATCGTGGACTCAAAGTGGGCACAACAACAAGCACATTGGGGCTTACAGGAATGGAGTTCTATTTTATTCCCAGATGAAGCTAGGTTTTGAGTCTACCCTGATTCAAAAGGAGTGAGAATTTGGAGAAGACCTGTTCGACAAGATAGACTGCAAGTTATGATATGGGCTGGAATAATTTTTCATCGTCGAACTGTCCCGTTTTTGTGTAAGTCAATTTGAATTATTAT